ATATATATATATATATATATATATATATATATATATATATAATGCTACTTAAGTGAATCTGATAAAAAGCACAATTAACATTGGTCTATTGAATGTGTATCATCTCTGAAAGGTGATGTTTGATCTTACTGGTACAAAAAAGTTTAAACAAGAATCATATTGTATACTGAATTATTACTTGGAAATTATTAGAAAAACTGCCATTTATGAAAGTTTAAGCAGTTTTTTACCTTAATGTATTGTTCCTTAAAATGGGCTTTCCATTTTTTTACTTTTAGAAAAACAAAATTTGAAGGAATGCTTTTTGCTATTAATTTTTCAGGACTGACTCTTAAATACATATAAAATGAAGAAAGTGGGACTGTCATACTGTCATGTGGAAATTCTACTGGCAAAAAATTGAGTTAAAATAATATTTTGCTATCAGTATTATGACTAAAACACTTATTTCTTTTCATATGCACACAAAGATTTCAGAAAATCTATTTGAAGAAAGGAAAAATATAGGGTTACAACAGTTTTCAAACTTAGCTTCTGATTTATAACTTTCTCAATTAGAGATAAGGAAAACAATATACAATTTTCAATTGTAACTTTAGCACCAAATTTTGAAACACTTGACTTATTAAAGTTATGGTTATCTACTTACTTATCAAATGTGTATGAATATTTCAAACTACAGGTGACCCTTGAATAACACAGGGGTTGGGGTGCAGTCAAAAACCTGCATATAATTTTTCATCCCCCCAAAACTTAATTACTAATAGCCTACTGTTGACCGGAAGCCTTACCGGTAACATAAACAGTCGATTAATACATGTTTTGTACAGTAGAATAAGCCAGGGCAAAAAAATGACATTGAGAAAAACAGAAGGAAGAGGAAATACACTTACAGTACTATACAGTATCCAAAAATAATCCATGTGTAAGTAAAGTAGACCTGCACAGTTTGAAACCATGTTGGTCAAGGGTCAACTGTATATTACAACTGTTCCTATCTAGAATGTTCTTATTTAGATCTTTCTTATAAAAGTAGCCTCTCCCTGAATGCCCCAAACGGGCTCCAAAATAGTGTACTGAAATCAACACTGTGGTGATAAGGATTCCAATGTCTTTACAAATTTAGGTGTGAGGACAAATATTTTGGCTGACATGTTTCCCAATATTTTCAGAGACTGTTTTCCCTAATACCTTTTTTAAATTGAAGTATAGCTGACATACAATGTTATACTAGTTTCAATATACAAATTCAGATTGGACGATTGTATACACTATGCTATGCTCACTACCGTACGTGTAGTTACCCTCTGTCACCATACATTAATACAATATTATTGATGATATTCCATATGCTGTATTCTTCATTCCTGTGACTTATTTATAACTGAATTTGTACCTCTTACTCCTCTTCACCTATTTTATCCATACCTCTCTACCTACCTCCCCTCTAGCAACCACCAGTGTGTCCTCTGTATTTATGATTCTGTTTGTTGACTTGTTTCTTTATATTCCACATGTAAGTGAAATCAGATGGTATTTATTTGTCTTTCTCCGATTTATTTCACCTAGCATAATACCCTCTAGGTCTATCAATGTTGTCACAAATGGCAAGATCTCATTCTTTTTGATAGCTGAGGTATATTTCATTGTATACATATTACACATCTTCTTTATCCATTCATCAATGGACACTTAGGTTGCTTCCATATTTTGGTTATTGTAAACAATGTTTCAATAAACATAGGGATGCACACAACTGTTCAAATTAGTGTTTTCATTTTCTTTGGGTAAATACGCAGTAGTGGAATTAATGAATATCTATTTTTAAGTTTTTGAGGAACCATAACACTTTTTTGACAATAGCATTATATTCAGGCCTTATAAAATGAATGGGACAACATTACTATACCAGACTTACAAAATAACTCAATACCAGACGATGGGGGAAGGCTTTATTCAAACAATTTTATATCACCATTAATAAATACTATGTAAAATATAAACCACGTTTTTTATATGACATGACTTAAGGAACTACCAAGGTAATGTTGCATCTTTCCCCCAAAAGCTCTTTTCCTAAATACTTACCTCTGTGACCTTTATGTTTATTTCTAGGTAAAATCTGCGTTTCAATGGTGAAAATAGCTTTGAAGTCCATGAGTAAGAACACATGTGTGATTTTATTTATACCTTTCCACTTATCAAAAAAATAAGAGGGTGAGAAAAGTATACACAGAAAAACTATATATCAGCAAATTTTAATTCAAAGAAAAATTTTGAAGAATTTTTAATTAAAAGGATTTTCTCATGAACTGTTAGTATTCAAAAAAAAAAATTAAAAAAAAAAAAAAAAGGGGCGCCTGGGTGGCTCAAGTCGGTTAAGCGTCCGACTTCAGCCAGGTCACGATCTCACGGTCCGTGAGTTCGAGCCCCACGTCGGGCTCTGGGCTGATGGCTCAGAGCCTGGAGCCTGTTTCCGATTCTGTGTCTCCCTCTCTCTCTGCCCCTCGCCCGTTCATGCTCTGTCTCTCTCTGTCCCAAAAATAAATAAACGTTGAAAAAAAAAATTTAACTGTTAGTATTCAAATAATGGCTTGATTCAAATATTTGCTTGATTTAGCTATTTAGAAAATGCTTTACAATTGCTCAGCAAGACATTTTATAAAAATTGAAACAAGGTGCTATAAGTCAAAAAAAAAAAAAAAAGGAAAAAGAAAAAAGAGTGTCATAAGTAAGAAAGCAATTAAGGATGTATTCTCGTGTAAGAAAATACCAATATTGTAACTCAAAAGAGAAATTAACCTTTTTAGTGTTGCAAGTTGATTTAATTCATAATAAGGACTTACCATGGATTCTTTTTTTTTTTTTTTTTTTAAGTAGCCTCCATGCCCAGCGTAGAGCCCAATGCAGGACTTGAACTCATGACCCTGAGATCAAATCCTGAGCTGAGATCAAGAGTTGGATGCTGAACTGACTGGGCCACCCAGGCACCCCCATGGATTCTTTTAAATAGTAAACATTCATTATGTCATTAAGTGTTTGGAGACCGATCATTCACTTATGTACAGGGGTGCAAAAACTGGATTATAGCAAAACTTTCAAATGTTTATGAACCACTGCCAACTGAAAGTAAGTCCAAGCATCTAAGTGTACCTGTGGTTAGCAGGCAATAACATTTACTTTCTAAAATCAAATTTAAATGAAAGCTTTTCAAGAAATTTAAAATGGGTCAGTTTAGTTATATTTATTGAATACAGTTAATACTAGGTGTCTCTCGTGGCGCACCTGGGTGGCTCAGTTGTTTTAAGCGCCCAAATCTTGATTTTGACTCAGGTCATGATCTCATGGTTTTTGAGACTGAGCCCGACATTGGGCTCTGTGCTGAGCATGAAACCTGCTTGGGATTCTCTTTCTCCCTCTCCTTTTGCCCCTCCCCTGAATGCACTCACTCACTCTCTCAATAAAATAAAATAAAAATAAGTATCCCTTGAAAATGAGAGATCCGGGGACTAAAAAACAAAAAATTATAAAATTTACCTCAGTTCTTTCTTAGCACATATAATTATGATTTTTACTTCGTATGTATTAGTTACTTAAACAACTCAGAATTTCACCAAATTAAAAGCAACAATTATATCAGATATCTGAAACCCAAAGTAAAACAGATAATATAACTAACCTTCCACAAGGAAGTCTCCCTGTAGTCATATGACGGCCGTGGGTTTGAGGTAGGAATCACTAAGTTTCCTCTTGGAGTAAGATTTCTATTAAGCACTAAATTATTTTCAAAATGTCCACAATAAGGTGGTTCCAGGCCTGACCTCAGAGTAAGAGTGCCGAGTAAAGTTTGGTGCTGCTGTCTCTCTACCAGAAGTTTTGTATTGATCTCTGATAGTCTCTCATTAGTCCTGTGAAGATTAGAAAACACAAATACATTTTCTCTTTCCCTAAATCATTCCTAAATGACTTACATCTTTTTAAGTTTCCATAATAGTAAATAGCATTTGCCATTGAACAGTGTTTTAACACTGAACATGTGACAGAGCACACCCACTATCTAAAACTATACTTTTAAAATTGTTCTAAAGAAATACTTATGTTTCCAGGGGGATCCCTAACAATTCAAATGAGGGAAGGGAGAGAAGTGGCTATCAGTGATGTACATGGCTTAACGAATAATACTTGCTGTCTTCTGGAATGGCTGTACTGACAAGATCCTTCAGGATGCCAGTATATATACATACTTATATTTAGTAAACCTGTTTACAGATATAAAAATAAACCATCCCTCAAAGACATTTTCAAGCGTTTGCTTTCACCACTCTTGTACATTTCACTTATTATCTCAAAGAAACTGAGCATTTGACACCGAGGAATCACTGAGACCAACAATCTTTAGGGGAGATAGTAGATGGCAGAGGTGTGATCAGAAAGAACTAAAACAGCTACAGAGGGAATTAGCTTATAACAGTTACCAAGGCACTGGAGGCAGAATCTGCCCTTTCTGTCTTCAGTCTTCCACACACCTCCCTCCCACCATGGTGCTCTTTTTAGCCACTTTGGGAATTATACTCCCCTTCAGCCCTGTGTGAGTCTTTCTGTATTTCACCTGTATGCCTTTATGTAAAGTAGAAAAAGCATAAAGGATAGTTTGTCTCAAGGCCCACTCTAGTAATAATACCAAAGATCACAATCAAGAGAAAAAATGTACCAAGCTGCCAGGATGAGTAGTAGTAGTACTTGACCTTTTAGGTTAAAGATGTAATCTTCCAAAAAGAAACTCATTGACATTTCTATTTAGGGTAATTCTGACAAGCAATTTTATAATAATATGCTTCTAAATGAGAAAGCTTCAAACAATTCACTTAAAGACTAGCAGATCC